TCAAAAGTTACCCCGAATACACCCCGGCCCTCTCCAAACGCGCGCACCCCACGCTGACAGACTTCCACCACCACCCGCCCTCAACAACCACCCGGATGAGCCCGCGCGTGATGACCGTGATCGGCGTCAGCGCGCTCGGCCTGAGCACCTACATCGGGTACCTGTACGCCTCGTACCAGCGGGAAGTGACGCACTCGCAGACGTTGTCCGCCACGGTCCCGGCCAACGTGACGGACCGCTACAACACGACGGCGCGCACCTTCGACGCCGACGTCGAGATGTCCGAGAAGCTGATGCGGCTGGGCGCCAAGCGGCGCGATCTCTGCCGCCGCGCGCGCGGCGACGTCCTCGAGGTCAGCTGCGGCACGGGCCGGAACATCGAGTACTACGACTTCGGCCCGCCGCGGCGCGGCATCGTTGACGAGCGGACGGGCGCGGTGGGCGTGCGCGGGTGCCGGTCCGTCACGTTTGTGGACCTGAGTCCGCAGATGGTGGAAATGGCGCGCCGCAAGTTCGAGGAGCTGTATTTGGGGGATAATGATGCACTCCAGGAAAAGGTGGAGTTTCGCGTGGAGGATGCGGCGGCAGTCGGGGCGGGGCCGAGTCCCGAGATTATCGGGGCGGCCGCCGCTGGTCAATCCAAAAAATACTTTGATACGGTGGTGCAGACGATGGGGTTGTGCTCGTTGCCGGATCCCGTGGGCACGCTGAGGCATCTAGGGACGGTGGTCGATCCGCAGAGGGGCGAGATTCTGTTGCTGGAGCACGGTCGCTCGCATTATGCGTGGTTGAATCGCGTGTTGGATAATTTGGCCCCCGCCCATGCGGATCGGCATGGGTGTTGGTGGAATCGCGATATCGGGGAGATTGTGAGGGACAGTGGGTTGGAGGTCGTCGAGGAGAAACGCTGGCATTTTGGTACCACTTGGAAATATGTTCTGAGGCCGGCGAGAAAGACGGCCGAGTAGAGTGTGGCTCGATGATCTTGTGCTGCCGTCTTGGGAGCGGCACGCTTACGGTAGAGACGATTATGGTTGTAGATTTGGATGTACTATATGTATCTATGGTGGTTCTGAGCGGAGTTATATTGGTTCAGTAGATAAATTCAGAGATCTTATGTTAGAGTGGATCCTCCTTGATGTAGACGTCGAGGACGTATCCAGCATACGACAAGTAGGAGACCTTATCGTACCGCTAGGAGACTTTACATTGAATGTTGTGCTAGTTTCGTTCCAGATCTCTAGTCACGACAGACAATGGGCCGATAGAGGTCAGAGACCCTGACCTGGATTAGTGATAAATGGAGCGATGGCCTCAGGCGGATAAGGCTGAGGGATGAAAGGGACCTGGAACCGATAATGCCCGGACCCGACCTTGTGTTCCCCCGTCTCAGAGCCCAGTCGAACGATGGCCGTTGCATTCAGGGGCACGTCGAGCTCGACCGTGAGCACCTTCTCGCCATCATCATCCTGCGAAGGGCCGAGTTTCCACCGGCAGAACCAGCGCCCATACGGGCAATCATGCGAAACCACCGCGTAGGTTAAAGGCCCGCCCGGTTGAGGAGACACAAGGACAATCTTCCACCCGGGCTCGCGCGGGACCAAGCCCCCGACGGTCTCATGCAGCCATTGAACAACAGACCCGAGAGCATAGTGATTAAAGCTGGTCATCTCGCCGGGGTTGATCGACCCGTCCGGCAACAGGCTATCCCATCGTTCCCAGATGGTTGTAGCCCCCTGCATAATAGGATAGAGCCACGATGGGCACTTATCCTCGAGCAGCATCCGATAAGCCAGGCTAAGATTTTTGCTGTCGCTAAGTGCCTGGAGGATTATGGGGGTGCCGGCAAACCCCGTGGCCACGCGGAACTTGGCCATACGCACCAGGCGCGACAGCTGGCGGCTGATGGTTATACGTTGGGTTTCGGAATCTATCAAGCCAAATACAATGACCAGAGCATATGCTGTTTGGGAGTCGCCGGCGACTAACCCGCTGGGAGTCACATACTTGGCATGGAAGGCTTGAAGGTGTCGGTCGGATTCTTGCTGGTAGTGGATATAGTCGGCTTCTTGACCGAGAAGCCGACTGATCTGTGCCAGGGTTCTGGTGACGCGCACCAAGTAGGCATCTGCCACGAGCGCGCCGCTAGTTCGTCCATCCCCCGGCTCGTCTGATGGAGCCTGGGGATCCAGCCAGTCTCCGAGCTGCCAGTGGTCCGGATCCCACAGTCCATCGTCGCCCCGACGAACCCCCTGGTCCAGCCATGCCTTCATGCTGGGATACTGCCGCCGGAGGATTTCCACGTCACCCGAGGCTTGGTACAAATTCCACGGCAGAATGACCACCACATCGTCCCAGACAGACTGCGGCATCGGAGGCCAGACGTGCTGAAGCACATTCGGCACGACTAGTGGGGGCACTCCTCCATCGCCATGCTGCTCTGCAGCTACGTCCTCCATCCAGTCAGCCAGCATTCCTTCGCAATTATACAAGAAAGTTGCCGACGGGCTGAAGACCTGGATATCACCAGTCCAGCCCAGCCGCTCGTCCCGTTGGGGGCAATCAGTTGGGATGGACACAAAGTTGCCTCGCATGCTCCACCGAGCGTTGCGATGCAGCTGATTGATCGCATCATTCGAGCACTCGAAATCCCCCGTCAGAGCAAAGTCTGTGTGCAAGACTAATGCGGTGATATTCCCCTGCCAAGAGACCGATGAGGACCGGGGGTCCCATCCGTCTACCTGCACGAAGCGAAATCCATGAAAGGTAAATTTCGGAGACCAGTTCCTGAGGGTTTCTCCGGAGGAAACGATCACGTCGGTGCATTTGGCTTGACGCAGTGGTCGAATGCCCAGCTCCCCATTCTCCAACACCTCTGCGTGCGTGAATCTCACCTCAGCATCGGCAGACAGAGCCAACTCCCGCACATGGAGCTTACCCACCAGATTCTGACCGAAGTCGAGAATCAAGCGCCCAGATGGGGTGGTAAACAAGCGCCGTGCTGTAACATGTTGTGTAACCCGTACAGCGGGCGCTCGAGAGACGACCAAGGATGCCTCCGGCAAAGCCAGCGTCACGACGGGCTTCCAAGCCGCCGCCGTCGTCATCTCCTGGTAGTCGGGGTCGCCGTGCCAGTCCCCCAGCTCCTCGCGCATGTCGTACAACTCGCCATCATAGATCTCGCTGCGCACGAGGGGGCTGAAGTTGCATTTCCAACTGCTGTCCGACACGACCTGCATCAAGTGATCCTTCCGGGCGCCAACGATCTCCAATTGAACCAGCGCACCGATCTGGTCGCCGTAGAGGCACCGTCTACCACCGTTGAACCCCAGGCGGCCTGCGTACCACCCCTCGGCCACCTCCACTCCCAGCACATTGCGAGCCGCGATCCCGGCAGAGACATCATGAACCCTGTACGCCATACGATGGTGGTAGCTCGTCCAGCCCGGTGCCAACTCTTCATCTCCCACCCGCTTCCCATTCAAATAGACTCGATACATCCCCAGCGCTGTCACGTAGAGTCTCGCATGATCCACAGTCCCAAAATCGGCAGGGAGCTCGAAGGTCTTCCGGAAAACGACCGGCCTGAGGGTCTGGTCGCCTCCGATCGCCGGGTGCACCATCGGGACGGCGGTCCAGTCCTGCTGGCTGAGCAAAGCGCATTCCACCCCGCTCCATGTCGACCACGCAGTAAAACCAGCATGCCTTTTAGCTTCAGTGCCATTATCTTCTGTCGTTTCGGTCCAGGTGCCGTGAGCGCGCACGCGAATCAGCTTACGTTCGCGTGAGCGCAGCGAAGGGCCCGGCCATGGTACCCACGTCGACTCGGGGCTGTCAACTCGATAGATCTGCCCTTCGTCCTCCTGGTGGCATTCCGGTGCTTTCAAGGCAATCTCGTATGCGGTTTGGATCCAATCGCGAAGACCCTTGTTCGAACAAGTAGCCTTCCACGAAAGACGGGGCGCGTCATACTGGATTCCGAAGCCGGACGGGGAGTGCTCATATGCGACGACGGCGATTTCTGCCATCTTGAGGTTGCTTGCGAAAGGAGGATGGGAGTAAGACTAGCCGGTAAATCATTGATCATGAGTCCAAATAGGGAGAAGGTTCTCCTTTCATATGAGGACTCGCATCATTTTTGCCCCGAGATAACCGACAGGAACAAGCCTGTAGCACTGAGGGAAAATCTCGGGAATTCGATAACAACACACTTCGGATGTCAGGTGGCGATGTATGCACACGATCTGTGTTCACATATATCCAATATGGAATGGCAGAGCTGGTATCTGATCCTATGGCATAGACAGCAGGGAGGCTGGGCTGTGGAAATGACGCTCGGGTTGGACCATGCCGAACGAGCTGGAGGCAGCAAACGGCTTCCCCGCAAAGCCGGCAACTACTGCGCTCCGCATGTGACCACGGCAACAAGGCCTTCTAAGGGTAGTGTATACACAACTACGAAACACCAATTACTCGAGACAAGAGAAGTACATTTGTTCCAGGGTTTTTTTTTCATCTTTTCAGTTTGTGTAGCGACCAGGAGTCCATAATTAAGCCAGCCATAAACCTAGGCATAGCCCCGAAGCCCTCATGCTCCCGGTACAATCATCCGCTGTCATAACATTCCATAAAGATCTAAAACAGTAAAGAATTTTTTTCCATCTTTTTGGTGCTGCGATGTTGTTGAAAAACCATCCGACTGAGCAAAAAGCAATCAGAGGTTGAAAGCATCACGTCATTGGTATGACCCAATGTATGAGACGCTGCCCGAAGGCGAAGAACAGAAAAACCAGTAATTAGAAGGAGGCAACCATTCGACCAGCGCACAGTACCGCCCCCTTGATCTGCGGTGTGCGACTATCTAAGATGGTGAGACGATTTGAGTTTGATAAAAGAGACAACCAGGTAACATAAACCGAGTCGCTAGAACGCCGTACAAATGCTAGCATGAGGAATCGTAACGTGCGCAAAGAAACAAGAGAAACCACAACTAATCGATCGACGGGCGATGTGTCCGAAGCGCCCACAGCGAGTCGACGGAGAAAGGTTTTGTTAATACATGTCGATGAAAGGTGTAAGAAGGCGACGGCGTGACCTTCCTGGTTCGAGCCACAAGGCCGATTTAAACTTTACGGAAATCTTTTTACGTATGTTAGTGAATGTATCACCTCGTCGTCGAAGACGAAAGAAAAATGTAGTAGTGCATACCCGAAAGCACAGGATAGATCAGCTCGAAAGCCTGATAGATCTCCTCACGGACCTTCGCACCAGTGAGAACGATCTTGCCACTGACGAAGATCAGGAGCACAATCTTGGGCTTCATCATGCGATAGATGAGACCGGGGAACAATTCGGGTTCGTAAGAACTGAAGTTGTGGTGGCGACTAGCCAAGCCCTCCAGGCGGATCGGGAACTTGATGTCGCAGGAACCGACGATATTCTGGATCTTGAAGTCCGTGAACTTGGCGTTGAAGCCGAGCTTCTGAATGATACGGGCGTACTTTCTGGAGGCCAGCTTGGAATCATCTTCCGACTTGGCACCAGTAACCACCATCTTGCCGGAGGCGAAGATCAAAGCAGTCGTCTTCGGCTCTCGGATACGCATGATCACGGCCGCGAAACGCTATGGGAAGAGAAAAAAAGACCAGTTCAGCCACAATGTCCCCTGACGTGCCAAGCTCAGGAGAATGTGGAAGATAATACCTTTGGGTTGTACTCTGCATTTCTTGCGTGAAGCGCGATGGTCTTCAGGTCCAGGCGACAGTCAAGGTTGACCGTGGCGACAATGTTTCTTTGAAGATAGAAAAATTCTTGTTCAGCAATCTGGTGAACCAGAGGAACGAGAACAGTAAGAGTATACTCACTGCAACGTAGGCACAATGCCGCTTCCTGGAGTGTTGGCACCAGGAGTAGCAGCAGGAGTTGCGGGCGCCACCCCGTTGCCATTCGAGGCATTTGCTCCCTGCTGCTGACCATTCAAACCTCCGTTGGCACCTTGAGCCATCGCCATGTGTGCGTCTTTTTCAGAAGGTGGCGTGAGATCACCAGCACCACCGGGAAAGGACAGAGAGGCAGGAGAAGTGAAGGCCCGGGCCTGCTGCGCAGTGGCCGGATGAGTTGTGAGAGAATCCATCGCGACGAGAGTAAAGAGTTACTCGAGTCGTAGACCAGCCGACGCTGAAGAGGTGATGAGAGCTTTTGGATGACAGTCTGCACCAAATAATCTCAGTCAGTCCAGGAAGACAGACAAGGCAAGGCCAAGTGACAAGGTGGTGGTTGGATAGTGAGATGGTTCCGAAGGTGACAAGAAAAAGGCGGTCGGGTGGCAAAAAAAAAAAAAACACACCGAACACCCAACGGCAGCGAAAGAGTCACGTACCCTTTGTGGGAGATGAACAAATCAATGTCTCCCCTACAGCAACACTGCCCACAAGCAACGAACCGTTTCACGTGAATGAAACGGAATGAGGTTCGGAGTAGAGTGCCAAAGATAAAACCAACGAGAACCCACAAGTCAAGTCAAACCAAGTCAAGCCAAGGTGACAAGAGCCTGACTGAATGATGGTCGAGTAGTACCACGAAGCCCAGATGGAGGATGGGAGAGGTGACGGTGAGGATGAGGACTAGAAAAGCACAACCAAGTGTTTTCTAGGGAGCAGGAAACAACTCGACGCAGCCTCTGCAGTTATTGCAGAAGTGAGGTAACAAGCACGAAGTAAATAGGGAGTGTCAAGACAGTGCGATGCACGATGCACGTGATATGATCCAAGGCAAGAACTTTTTTTTTTCCTTTTTTGGAATTGGTGATGTCTATCTGCGTCTGGAGAGAAGGTGTGTGTGTGTATGTGAAAAGAGAGAGCGACGAAGATGCGAACCTGAGGTTGCAACCTTCCTGTTTCAGCAACTGAATCTGAAACAGTGTAGTAGTAAGATAAGAAAAAGAAAAAGGGAGAGGTATAGAAAATAGCTTCTTCAACCTTTTTCCAATTCTTGGCTTCCTAAGAACTTCTTCCCGGGAATCTTAGACCAGCGCGAAAAGCAATAGAGACAGCTAAAAATTTAGCGGCTCTGTGATCTGTACGAGTGGAGAGGATGGGGGGAGATAGGAAGGGGGAGGATATCGGGCGGGAAGAGTGTGTATGGCTTTCCGGGCGGTGCCAAGACCAGAATCAAAATTCCAACAGAGTCAGGAAAGTGGGAGGTTGGGCCTTTATATAGGCTGACTCACAGAGCCGGGGGGGTGGGTGATGAAGGGAAAGGAAGGGAAAGAAGGGGAGCTGGCGTCAGGGGGGCTGGGCCCGGCGGCGAAAGGCGGCAAAAGCAGCGACGGTCACCCATGGGTTTGGCTCATTTGGCTGGTTTAGCACAAGTATTTTTGAGTGTTTTTAGTGTTTTCAGTGTTTTTCTATGGACCTAACGCTCCACTAGCGGCTCTTGGAGGGTGGCCAACGCCTCCCACTTTCGCTCTACCAAGCAAAGACCCCCCCCAAGACCCCCCAAGAACCCCCAAGCACAAGCGCTGGTTTGTTGATCGGCGGACCCACGGTAAACACATTGTCTGGGAGTTCCACCGGCGTGCACCTGTTCTCGTTGGCTGTCGCCCCCCTTACTCTTTTTTCCCGACCGGCGCCATGGTTGCAGCCACGCAGTTTTGACCAGTCCGCGTTCCTCCTGCGATCCACTTTTGCAAAATCCATCCATTCCGTTTCCTTCCAATCATGCCGGCTTGCTGTTCTCGGCGACTAGGGAGATAGCGAGGTAGACTAACGCGTCTGCCCGCCATCACGGTCCTGCCGCTTTAGCAACTGGCAATCAACCCTCCACAAAAGCAAAGATGGAAGGGAAAAAAAAATTTTGCTCTCTTGGCCCGGTTTCTGTTCCTTTCCATGAGCTTGTTTGGGGCCTCAGCGCTGCCTTGATCCCGGCCCCCAAAAAAGACCAAAAAAGATTCGGTTGAGTATGATGCTTCTGATCTGAAATCCTCTTGCAACTAACCTTTAGTCACATTTTGCGTTCTGAGAATCGCTATGATCGAAAGGAATCAAGATACAGAATGATGGAGGATGGAGGATGGAGGACGATGGATGGATCAACAGGCTGGAAAAGATGCTGGGCCGACCGCGACCCGAAAAATTTGGGAAGGGGGTTTCAAGCCGGTCGCGTCATGGGGTCGGTGGACTGGACGCGTCCTCCCTTTTCATTTGGCGTTGCCTGCCGCCTTCAACAAGCCTCAAGGGCAAGGCTCCAGCCGATGGTACTTTCTTGCTCCTATGAGCAGTACAGTACGTACGGTACCCCGGATCTCAGACCACCAACTGTGATCCACTAGCTCGATCGGTATTTGGTCAACTTGCAGCCTTGATACACTGGTCACTTTTGGCTGGGAACCTTCATTTATCGATCTTAGTCTCAGACATGACCAGTATCACCTCAGCACTGAACCAGCCCTCAAGCTTATCGTCCAGATTTCAACCCTCCTGACTGGCTATGCTGCATGCCTTCCGTCTCTGAGCCGGCCTACGTAACTCCGGCCAAGTGTCCTTTTCCAAGGCTCGATCGCAAAGAATGGTACACAGTAGGCTTCATCATCACTCGACTGTTGCCATCAGAATTCAATAACTACTCGGTGTGGTCGGTACACGGCATGAGATGAAGAGGGCGAAGTACGGAGTACAATACTATGTATAGTAATCCGTAGATGGTATTGTACATGTACTTGCATGTACATGGACCACATGACCAGAGACGCGTTGTTCCACATCGTTCTGCATTAAGATGCTTATTTATTTATTCAGTAGGTATTCAGTCGTTGCTGCATCGCCACATTCACAGAGTGTCAAGATCTTTGTCAGCTGCTGTGCATCACATGGGCGTCAGGGAATAAGGCCGGGCAGGCAACCGGGAATCGTCCATGACATCTCGATCGCGTGTCGTCATCATGGCTTTGGTTATCTTCTCAGTATCTCTGGGATCCATTTGAATCTGCTCGACTTGTTGGATGCCTTCATGTGATTTGAAGGCCATGTCTTAGTATGTACCTGCCACTTGCACCTGGTTGCCACGGCTATCTCCGGCAAGGTGACAGTTGAACCAACTGGAAGTATCATGGACTCATTACTCATACTCGTAGTGTTGAGTAGCACAAGATTGGCGACGCGAACCATTTGATCATCACGACGTATGCGCAAAACCGGCTTAGGGGTAGGCCAGAGACTCAGGGTCCATCGGATGGCAAGACACTGAGTACGAATTTGATTGCAGGGCAGTAACTGCAGTGACTGCTGCCCTTGCGCATGTCCCGTCGGGATTCACGGCTGTATGGGCGGAAGTAGTTTTACCTAGTAGAATACTTACCTAGTTTTGAGAGCGACTTGATTCACATTATCCGCCTTTCCATTGGCCGCCGTTACCTCGGGCCGACCACCAAAATTTCAATCCACCATCTTTTCCCCCCTCTCCTTCATCTTCTTAGTCACACTCCTCCCTCCATTGGATCAGTGCTTCAATCTGGCCGGTCGGAGAGTGACTCCTCTGATTCTAGTAGTTTGTTACTACTGCTATCTTACAGGGCGACAATACTCCTGTTGACGATACCCCTCTACCTTCTACTGTCGCGCTCTATCCCCCGTCTATAATGCATTTGATCTCAGTATAGGATTCGCAACATTCAGCCCTACTGTGACCCTCGTCTCCACTCCTATCTCCTCCCCCTTCAGTCTTCATCACATCTTCTTCGCCTAATCGCCTAAACAATGGCCTCCAAAGGCGCGGTCCTGCCGCTGTTGAGGCGCGAGTTGCGACCCTCTTCCCGGCGCCTCCCCAAGGCTCCCGCCTCGTTGTCATCACTCGCGAACTCTGCACGGCCCTCCAACCTCTCCTTGCCAGCATCATACCGCAAAGTCATTCGACCACGGTCGCTATTCACTCCCATTCAGACACGCGCCTTTTCACAATCGGTAACACGAAGATTAACCGATGCCGAAGGCAATTTCGATCCCCGTCAGCTGGACAGAGAATCGGATGAGGTGGATGTTTGTATCGTCGGTGGCGGTAGGGACTCCACATAGACTCGGTCGCGCAGGTGGCATGCATCGCGCAAGTGGATGAATGTAAAGTGACTAACCCTTATCGTTTGCCGCCCGAAATAGGTCCCGCTGGTCTCGCCGCAGCTATTCGATTGAAGCAATTAGCAAATGAAGCCGGCAACGAGGAGTTCCGCGTCATTCTGTTGGAAAAGGCCGGCGAACTCGGCGCCCACGTCCTGTCCGGCAACGTACTTGAGCCAACGGCGCTGAATGAACTCCTGCCCGACTGGCTTGCGGAGGACAACCCGTCCCGCTTCGAAGGGGCGACCCCTGCGAAGGCGGATAAGATGCGCTTCCTGACTCAGAACTCGTCCTTCCCGATCCCCGCGCCACCGCAAATGAACAACCATGGCAACTACATCATCAGTCTTAACGAGCTCACCAAGTGGCTAGGAGAGCGGGCGGAAGAACTTGGTGTCGAGATTTATCCCGGATTCGCAGCCAGTGAGGTGGTCTACAAGTCGGATGGCTCCGTTCTTGGTGTCGCAACCAACGATCTTGGCATCGGTCGCGACGGCAAAGCGAAAGATAGTTTCGAGCGGGGTATGGAGTTCCATGCGCGGGTCACCTTGCTGGCCGAGGGCTGTCATGGGAGCTTGACCAAGCAAGTGGCTAAGAAGTTCGACCTTCGTCGCGATAGCCAACCGCAAACCTATGGTATTGGTCTTAAGGAGATCTGGGAGATCCAACCCGAGAAATTCAAGTCCGGTGAAATTACGCATTCCTTGGGATACCCTCTTCCGTCGGATACCTACGGGGGAGCATGGATGTACCACTTCGGCGACAACATGGTCAGCATTGGCTTGGTCGTGGGACTGGATTATCCGAATCCCTGGTTGTCGCCCTACGGGGAATTCCAGAAACTCAAGCACCACCCTCTCTTCAAGGAAGTCTTGGAAGGCGGCAAGTGTATCTCGTATGGTGCGAGAGCCCTCAACGAGGGTGGCTTCCAGTCCATCCCGAAGTGCGCTTTTCCCGGTGGCGCCTTGATTGGCGACAGCGCCGGCTTCTTGAACGTTCCCAAGATCAAGGGAACCCATACCGCGATGAAGTCTGCCATGTTGGCTGCTGAATCCACCTTTGCAGCTCTGCAGGGTAACCCTGACGGCAGTGTATTCCTCTTCGACTATGAGGAGGCTTTGCGCAAATCATCAATCTGGAAGGAGTTGTACGAGGTACGCAACATGCGCCCCTCTTTCAGCACGCCCCTTGGTCTCTATGGTGGAATTTTGTACTCTGGCCTCGAGGCCTACATTCTTAAGGGACGGACTCCCTGGACGCTCAAGCACCACACCACCGACGCCGCGGCCACGAAATTGGCCTCTCAGTGCAACAAGATTGAGTACCCCAAGCCGGACGGCGTGATCAGCTTCGATATTCTCACCAGCGTCAGCCGGACCGGAACAAACCACGAGGAGGACCAGCCCGTCCACTTGCAAGTGGAGGACTGGGACAAGCATACGGATATTGCCTGGCCTAAGTACCAGGGTGTCGAGAACCGGTTCTGCCCGGCCGGTGTATATGAGTATGTTGAGGACTCCAGCAAGCAGCATGGTGTTCGCTTCCAGATCAACGCTCAAAAGTAAGCCCTTCCATCATCTCTTCTTCTCTTGACCGACTGCTAATCATACACAGCTGCATTCATTGCAAGACGTGTGATATCAAGGTACCCACACAGGACATTAACTGGCAGACGCCTCAGGGTGGCGAGGGACCGAAGTATTTTATGACCTGATTAGGCACATCAATTGTATTGTAGCAAAAGCAGCGGGGACTGATCATATGATATGGAACCATGTACATACGGCTTTCGGCGTCGAGTCTCGGTGCATTCGCCTCATTCCTAAGCATTGATCTACTGAAGTACGTACTCGTATTATTGCTACCGTACAGCCGGGGGGGCGAAGTGCCAAGCCACTAGTCCCTGCGTAGCCTAGCCGGGGTTCTGCGCGGATCATCCGCTTTGCAAGCCCGCGGTTCAGCTGGGTTGATCTGTAGATTGCATGTTGCTTGCTGGGGGTGTTATACATCACAAATGAATTAAACTCGAAGATGAATGAATGCATTCCGCAAGGGCTTGTGCTCAAGATCCGCAGTCACTACCGATACGAAGGGCTATGCTTGTTGATTGTTGATTCATCCAAAGCTTATACTCTGGAAGTACGGAGAGGAGGCTGAAGAATCTAAACATATCCTCGCTGTTGCAATTTCATACGTACAGTACCCCATACCATCAAACACTTTGTATCGCTGAGCTCTAGACTTGGTGGATCGTTGGGCCATCAACTGCAATGGGAGCTTGGTCAATCGAGTCATGGACTCCCTACTTCACTGTTCTCAGTTGTGATGTACCATCGAATATCCTCATATACATCAAAATGAATCGGATTGGCTACCCCATAGGTACCTGTTTCTGTAAGTGTACCTATCACTAACGTCTCTGGGGCTCCACAGCAGCACTAAGGATGAGGCTACACGACAAAAAATGTGTTCTTGGTGCAGTGTGGGGGAACTGGAAAAGTCGAGAGTGGTACACTGAACTAGGGTCACGGGAATATATACATCTGCAACTTCTATTCACATTAACAACACGGTTGTCTACGGAAAATATACGGCGAGCTCAGCATTCCTATAAGAGAACTCCAGATACCCTTCTGCTCTACCTGAACAAACACCTGAACAAACACCATCTATCTGTTTACTTTTTACTTTGAAGTACGGAATAGCTATCATATCATCCTTTTTGAAGGCAAAGTCAGGAACTGGACAAGGCGGGGCCACGTGGAACCGCAGAGTGAGGCGATCCGGCAAGGTCGCCCGCCATTGGATGCCCTCCACCGCCAGTGGTCCGAAACAATTGCCCTGGCGGTCAAGGAAAGCAGCTCGCAGTCAGTCGCAGTCCCGCAACTCTGCCCGCCCGCTCTGCTCTGCCGCCGCCGCCGCCTCTTTGCTTTCTCCTCTTTTCGCGCCGTGACGATCGCTCACTCACTCACTCGATTCCTGTTCTTCTCCTCTCCTCTCTCTTCTTTCTCTTCTCTTCTTTCGACTACTCTTCCTTATCCTCTTCCAACTGCTCGAACTCTTGTCACCCGTCCTTCATTCCTCACTCATTCCCTCCGTACCCCCCCTATTCGTCCATCTATCAGATTATCGCGACATAATAAACAGTTTGACAACAATTTACCTCGCTAACCCCTCCGCCCCCCCTCTCTCCTTTTCCCTCGACTGCGATAACCCGCCAACAATAGCCACTTCGCACCTCTTGCAGCTCCAAGCTGGTGGTGTCCCTTGATTTGTCTATTACCAGGTCTACTAAACTCATCCGGAATATCTCGACTGTCTATTCCCCGGCCCCCGGATTGCCAGGAAATCCAAATATCGAGCTACTGTTTCTGTCGCAACTAGCTACCTGGAGTACACACCGTTGGAGAGACAATAGCCGGGCCATCATCCTCACCTGTGGCTTATTTTCCCAGATCGGCGACTGGAAGAATTTCCGAGGCCACCCGTTATTTTCCTCTTGCCGAGTGGACCATCCCGCGACTTGTTTTGTTTGCTTTTCTGAGTTCCAGCCATGACTGAAGTCTCGTCTACCCGACTTTATCTCGGGAACCTTCCCCGCAATGGTATGCAGCCATCTATCCGTTCTTCAAGGTCTCCTTTCCATCCGATATGGATTTCTTCCTTTCAATCTGTTCCAGTCCGTTTGCGCCACAGTAACAGGATGTCCACTGGATTGCCATGTGTTCTGGATGGATGTCTTCCAGTCCCTCAAGTGACCTTGGTTCAGTGGGCCATTGTACCTCTTTCCTGCTTTCAGATCCTATCTGTTGGGGTTGTAAGCCAGGAACCAGACCTGCGCGCCCTCCTTCCCACTCTGCGCAGGGTTCCCTCGAGCCCGGACACTGCTGGGGAGGATTTTCAATTTACTTTTCTTGGATCCATTTACGTATTTTGTTTTCCGCAATGAGCTGACCTTTGAACACGGCGCCCATGTGGGCGTCGCAGTGCCAATTCAGTAACTAAGCAGGATATTGAGGAGCATTTCAGCACCCATGGTTCCGGAAAGATCACAGAGATCAAACTGATGAATGGCTTCGGTTTCATCGAGTACGAAGACGCGATGGATGCTCGAGATGTTGTTCCCGGTGAGTCCCCATTTTCCTGGCAAGCGTAAGCCACGTCACTCGTGACTAACGATTACTCTTCTTTTAGCTTTCCGTACGTGATACTGTCATATTCTTCTCCAGGGCTACCCATTGACTCTTATAAACCCACAGATGGCAGCGATTTCAAGGGCGAGCGACTCACCGTGCAATTTGCCCGTGGCCCGCGCCGCAAGGAAAACTTCCCTGGCCCGATGGACCGTCCCAACATGCCTCGCCCCCGCCGCACGATCTTTCGCATGTTACTTTCTGGACTCCCGGAAACAAGTTGGCAGGTTAGCAGCCCAAGTCCCCTTTCCCTAGGAACAAGCGGACGCCTTGAAGCCCGGCTCATCAGCGTTCCTTGACATCTCTGCCTATTTCTTTTTGCCTTTTACCTATTACCTACACAAATTTCTCTGTATATTCCCAGCCTGCCGGGGTTTTTGGATATATGCCGACTGCGAGCGACATTTTGGGAGCTACACGCATTACTCGAGCAGCAAACTAGGCTCTCCAACGAGCTAGGTTGACAACTGGACGACCTAAATCTGGAAGGAGAACATTATGCCCTTTTGGACTACCCTGCCTTGGATCTTGATTTTTGGTCTTCTTTTTGGAATCCCTTGGGACTGGTGTCTCATCGTTCTGCTCTCATCACATGGACCTGCCGGATAACAGACTTGCTTCACCGGGAAATGAACTCACCAATTCGTACTCTAGGATCTAAAAGACTTTGCCCGCCAGTCTGGCCTTGATGTGGTATACTCCGAGACCGGTCGTGAGCTTGGTAGAGGGTGCGTCGCATTCTCTTTCCCCTGGATGCTCCGTTGGATGACCATTAACACTATGAGCAAGGTTCGTTGAGTTTGAGACCGCCAACGACTTGAAGACTGCCGTCGAGAAGCTCGACCAGCGCGAGTTCAAGGGATCTCGTGTGACATGTATCGCCGATGTAAGGACTCTTTGATCGATTCACATCCAGTCCACATTATTCATTTCTCCCTAGATCCAAAGCTTTCCGCCGGAAGACCGTTCTTTCCGTGACCCCTACCGGTCGCGATCCCCTCGTCGGAGCTTTCCCCCAATGGAGGAATACGACCGCCGATTTCCCGCACCCCGTGGCTACAGTCCGCGGGCTCATTACCGGGAACGGTCTCCTATCCCCATGCGGCGGGAATACTATGAACGAGATGGGTACGGACGCCGGACGCCACCTCGCCCGCGGATTGAAGACTACCCTCCTCCGCGTCGACCCTATGAGGATCCGTATGATGTTCGTCCGCCACCTCCACCCCGGCACTACGATGACCCCTACATGCAAGCCAGAGCCTACCCCCGTCCCCGGAGTCCTCCGCGGGGCGAGTACATGCCGTACGAACGCCGCGGCTATTGGTAGGGGCTCACTCCTGTCATTTGATTGTGTTTCACTAAGTGCATGGCGGATACCCACTGTGCTTTCTGATTGACTTGTTTTTCCCTGCTTGTACTGCTTTACCTTGCGCTCTGTTTCTCTCTGATCTCCAAAATAATCCGACCCCGGTCAACTGCGCTTACACCCCTGGACCGGATACGGCTGAAAATACCCTGCGAATGTGTGTACACCGCAGACGAAAGGCGGCGAAGAAAGAAGAAAATAACGAACGAAGAGACGAAGGCGCTTCTGATCATTAACGGACGTGGTATGATGACCCAATGATACGGCGATCTATGCTCTGGGCTGGTCTCTTGAGTTTCTGCGTGCGACATATGTTCTCTTGGTTGCCCTCTGCGCAGCCAACTGATGTAGCAGCACGCGACCCTGGATGGCTCAACCCTTTGCGACGTAATATCTAACGATGTGAATTTCCATTTCTCTCCATGGGCATATGTATGTGTATATTGGATCTACTGAATAATAACCCTGTTTGAAAGGTGAAAGGAAAGCAATTGCCAGAGTGGCTAGTAAACAACGGAGGCTTCACTTTGTCTTTCTACTACGGTGTATGAGGGAAAAAAAACGCGCGAGGCAGCAAGGCAACAAAGAAAGTTCCCCGCGCTAAGACGGAGGGCCCCCCACCACTCTATTTTGCCTATGACTCGACTACTGGTTTCTCCCCCTCCGCCTGTCGCATTGACACCAGTGCTAGACGGGGTGTTTCTCTGAATCAATAATAGGTGCGAGATATTTTCCCCGGTTACCTGTCCTTGAGTCTTTTGAATTCACTTTTACGTTTTGTGGGCTGACGTCACGGCACGGTCTCGACTTTCGGTAGCTCCAGCATCCTCCCGACGGTCACCCGCTGCGAGCTAGCTTCCCCCTCAGCTCGTAACCTCTCTCTCACTCTTCGACATCATCCGTCCTTTGATCTCTGCACAACCATCATCTAGCATCATGGCTGACCAACGCGTAAACGTCCATATCCCACCCCGTCCGCCGGTGCTCGACAGTGTGCGGCTCCAAAACATCCAGTTGACGCTTCCTGCGGCCCCGGACCCATGGCACCGACCCAGCAAGCCGCAGCCCTGCTCCGCATCGCTGAACCTATCCTATTCCTCCGCGGTCGCCGCCGCCATCGCCGACGATGTCTCTCTATCACTGGACTACGGAAAGCTGTACCGCCGCCTGGAGGAGGATATCCGCAACATCGGCAAGTCGGGCGATGCATCGGCGCAGCAGCTGGTCAGCCTCGACGGCAGCCGACGGGATGAGATGCTGGGGGCTGCGCTCGGGGAGGACGTGCGGCTGACGGCGGGGATCGTCGCGAACTGCGGGCTGGGCCTCCTCGACGAGACCGCCGCCGGCGTCCGGCGGATGTCCCATGCGCACCAGCACCACGACACCCGGCGCCGGAGCAGTGCGTCGGCGGGCTCCCAGGCGCAGGCTCAGGCGGCCATCTTCGGCAAACCGTCGTCGGCGGCCGTCCCGCCGCCCATCGACGCGGTGTTCGGACAGTGCGAGGTCTCGTTGCAACTGCCCAAGGCGCTGCTCCGCGCGGAGGAGGGACTCAAATACCGGAGCGTGACCGTCTGGGGATACCGGCAGCGGAACGGGGCGGCTGCGGTGGACAACCTGGCGGAGGCCGAGCGGTGCCCGGTGGTGCTGGAGGAGGAGTTCCGGATCGATGGGATTCGGTGCTATTGTATTCTGGGGGTCAACTCCCACGAGCGAGTCGAGAAGCAGGCGGTCATCGTCTCGTTGGAGTTCAAGGGCCCTGGTCAACTGCCCTGGGGATCCACGGTGATCAATACCTATCAGGCCATGACGCGGGCGGTGGCAGAGGTAAGCAACGCTCATTGCTGCTGTGTGTCTTTTCTGAATGAACATTTGCTAATGTCGGGGTTAGCGGGTCGAAGCTACGAGTTTCCAGACGGTCGAGGCGCTGGCCACTTTCGTAGCGCGCATTGTGACGATGGAGTTTGGGAATGAGCGAGTGACGGTGTTGGTTCAGAAGCCCAGCGCGCTGTCCTTTGTAGAACGATCTGGGGTCCAGATTACTCGGTCGCAATCATTTTTTGAGTAGGAAGGATGTATTGTACCTCATGTTAGGATTTCATTGGATCTGAATTGTGCTTGGTTACCGATGGCCATATGATAGAGATCATACTCTTGGGGTTGGATGCGACAAGTCACTCGGATGAATGCCCGCCAACTGGAGATGCAGCAAGTGAATTACCTGAATAGGCAATAGGGAGGCCTGACCTACTCGGGTCCAATGACGGCGACACGTGACGCAGACCTGTCCTGAGGCGGACTAGCGTCGCTTAGCACCCGGCGGCTGATGATTGGCTTAGCGGGCATCATCGGCCTTGGTTGTTTCGCAGTGTCAGTTTTCCGAGTCCTCAGCCTGATTTCACTTTCCCTTTCCCTTTCCCTCCTTTAAATCTCCCTCTCTCCCCCTCTTCAAGGGAAATCTGCTCGATCCCCACAACCTAGAAACCACATTCGTTGTGTGTGTTATTTCACCTTCACCTCCTATTCTTCAACTCACTCGCCTCGTTGGCTACCTAGCCCGTTGTATCTCTATGTGCCTGTCTGCGCCATCCACGCTTTTGTCGTCCGCTTTTCTCCGCTGCTCCGCCGCTGGCTGCCCTACCGATTCCCCCGCTTTCCCCGATTTCTCCCCCTCGACGGTGTCTACGGTGTCTCGATATCACTCCACTCTGGCTGGCACCCAGGCCGTGTCATCCACTCGTTCGCCCGATTCCACTGCTGGCGAGGTGATTTGGCTAAGGGTCCAGGGTCCGTCCTGAACAAGGGCGGACGGTAATTTGGTGCTAGTCTCGAGGGACCCCTGCGAAACCACTTCTTCACAAGAGTTGCGCGCGCGGTGCTCTCTAGATCCTTGATCTACAATTAGTGTGTGTGGGTGAGTTTACAGTTTGATCCCCTTGCGTTTCCTGCAAAACCCGGTTTGGAGTTTACGCCGCGTATGCGTCTTTGTGTATATATATCTATACCTGATCGACCCTAACTGTTTTTGTTCAGATCACAACTAGGTTGCCGTACGGACGAGCGTACTTGGAGATCGTCGATGCCTGAGTGCATGTGATTGGTCTCTTCTTGCGAAATTGTACCTCGCCCCCCCCTTTTTTTTTGTTGAAGCATGGATTTCTCGGCGACCATGACACCGGATGACCTTTCGGTCGCGGATGTTTTCAGCCCGCAGGCCGACATGTCGCACTCTCGTGCGGACAATGTTATGAACGATGGCCAAGAAACCGGCTTCCGGATCAGCACCCGTAGTCCCGAGCGGAAGGTCGCAATGATGCCTCCCGCGGGGGTCAATGGCGCCAAACCCTTCCCTGCGCCGGAGTTGAATGGGAACCTCTTGGCTGGGAAGGCGGACCGTCGTAAGAAGAAGAAAAAGCCGGCGGCCGCTGCTCATGCGGTGGCTCCGGCCATCTCGACCGTGCGCGGGTTCACCCCTCGCGGCTCGGGCGACGAGGACTCGGACCGCTCGGTCTGCAGCTCGCGCGCGCCGAGCTCCCGTCCCCGTCCCCGCGCGCCAACCGGGACCGGCCCCAACAGCCCGTTAGTCCAACCTGCCACCGGGTGTGGGGTGAGCGCCTTGAAGCTTCAGCTGGATTCCATGAGCCTGTCTGGCCAGGGGCCCCGCTCGGAGACGCCCAGCAATGCCAGCGTGTGCTCGGACAGTGACCAGACGGAAGTCCTGACCAGCTACGAGGTGCCTCTGGAGCATGACTACGTCAGCACCGATGCGGTGGCGGAGGAAAAGTCGCAGGAGGCGTCGAACGGGCGCGACATGCACACTCGGCAGCTCTGTCGCAAGATGGCGTCTGACGATTTCGAGCCGCTGCTCTGTTTGGGCAAGGGATCCTTCGGGACCGTGCTGCTGGTGCGCCACGTGCTGACGGGCAAGCTGTATGCGCAGAAGCAGTTCCGCAAGGCGTCGATCACCGTGCACAAGAAGCTGGTGGAGCAGACCAAGACGGAGCGCATGATCCTGGAGAGCGTCAACCGCCACCCGTTCGTGGTCAAGCTGTTCTACGCGTTCCAGGACCACGAGAAGCTGTACCTGATCCTGGAGTACGCCGAAGGCGGCGAGCTGTTCCACCACCTGGCCATGGAGCGCATGTTCGACGAAGACGCGGCCGCCTTCTACATGGCGGAGATGGTGCTGGCGCTGGAGCACCTGCACCAGACGGTCGGGGTGATCTACCGAGACCTCAAGCCGGAGAACTGCCTGCTCGACAAGGAAGGGCACCTGCTGCTGACGGATTTCGGGCTGAGCAAGATCGCTGTCAGCGATGACGACCGCTGCAACTCGTCGCTGGGGACGATCGAGTACATGGCCCCGGAGGTCATCCAGGGCAAATCCTACGGCAAGGCCTGCGACTGGTGGTCCCTCGGCGCCTTGGGGTATGATCTGCTCACGGGATCCCCGCCCTTCAAGGCGAACAACAACGCCAAGCTGCAGGAGAAGATCCTCAAGCAGAAATTGGCCCTGCCCTACTTCCTGGGCCCGGACGCCAAGGACCTGCTGACGCGCCTCCTCCGCAAGGAACCCGCGAAGCGGCTGGGGTACCACATGCCCAAGGATCTGCAGACGATCAAGAACCACCGCTTCTTCCGCAAGATCGACTGGAAGGCCCTAGAGCGGCGCGAGGTGACGCCGCCCATCGTCCCCGTGGTGACAGACCCGGCCCTGGCGGAGAACTTCTCGGTGGACTTCACGCAGCTGCCGCTCAGCCCGATCGTGCATGGGTTTGACGAGCACTACAAGGCGTCTCAGGCGGTGGTGCCGCCGGTCTCGCTGGGGCTGGGCGAGAGCAATCCGTTTGGCGGGTTTAGTTTTGTGGCGCCGAGCAGTTTGCTGGACAAGGCGATTGGGGTGTGATCAGCCGATCGATGGTGGTTTTCCGGCGTGACTAGTAGAATGCATAGCTTTTCATGATATATCGATTAGACTGAACAATCACTCGGATGGTCTTCAGCGTTGCGGTAGCTGCTAGCCCGATAACTGACTAAGTCTGACTTCTCAAAGCGCCCCGTCGAAGTATGTCAACAAGAGCCGTGCGTGCTCAAGCAGATATGTAGTTAGAGGGACCCAGCGAGCGACTTGAGTAGATTGTGTAGCCTAAACCCCACCCCCCCACCAAACTGTTATTCATCCTCACTGGACGGCCCCTTCAGTAAAGTGGTTGACCGAATCAACTACTATGTCAGCTCCGGCATTCCCATCCTTCCAGCATCCTTGGGAAATCCTTCACAAAAGTGATTATTATAGTAGTTGTTTTAGTATTTCTAATAGTTATTATAATCTTAAGAGTTGTTGTTAAAGCAGCCTTAGCACATATATTGATATATTTCAGATAAAAATATCTTTTTTTTAATAGTTATTATCATAGCAGTTGTCTCTGTATTAGCATTCCTGCTAGACCTTTTTCCACCCCCGCATGCGTTCAAATCGGAATACCTTGGCCATGTCCACTGCTTCCTCCCATGATTTATTTTCTCTCTCTCTCTCTCTTTCTTTTGAGGGGGCTAATGGACAATGAGCATGAGCAGTACATGAAATGAGGCACGGGGTGCTAAGTTATACGAAGGACAGTAGAACAGTATGCAGAGTAACAGGTTCCCATGTGTGGTGTGTCACTTACGGGACCTGGGGTTCGAGATTTGATTCTAACTGCATATAGCTCAAAGTCGTTGTTCAACACTTGCACTGAGGGTGTCTGACATACCCCCACCCGTACTCTGCTACCAGTCCACTGCATTTACTGCATCAGTCGGGAGAGGGAAGGAACTGTCTCTCTCCATCTATTGTTGTGTATCTGGTATGGGGTATGATGCAATCTCTTGCAGCTTTCCGATCGCCAATCCCAATCACACACCTCATCCGACTTTGATCTCATTTCCATATCCGTCGGGGCGTACCACACCCCCATCCATCACGCTTGGAATGGAAATATCACGCCAACTCCGCCTCAATCAAACTCTCCGCCACCCCGGGATAGGTGTAGATCTGCACGACACGGAGCCCCGCCGCCGCCAGGATGGCGCGCCACTCGGCCTCGGTGCGCTCGCGGACGGCAAAGTGCGCCAGCATCATCAGATCCATGCTCGTGGCGGCCAGCGTCGGCCGCTCCTCGCTGACCACGATCTCGTTCAACAAAACCCGCGAGTAGCCCCGGCGCAGCGCGGGGGCCAGACTGCGCAGGATCTGCACCCCGCGCTCGTCGTCCCAGTCGTGGAGGATGGAGTGGAGGTAGTATGCGCGCGCCCCGGCGACCGGCTGGGGCGTGAAGAAATCGTGGGCCTGCGCGGTGAACGACGACGGGCCCGGCGCCGTAGCGGACGCAGCCTCCAGCGCGGCGATCACGGGCTCGCGGTCCTGCAGGATGATGCGCCCGGGATGGGTGGGATACTGCTGGGAGAAAATGGCCACGTCGTGGCCGCGGCCGCCCCCGACGTCGACGAGGAGGACGCCTTCGGCGTTGGTGGTGTCGTCGAAGCCGGCGACCAGGCGATCCGCCACGGGGTAGAAGCCCGGGTCGCACCAGTTGGCCTTGCCGGCGCGGTAGGCGCTCATGAAGGAGTCGAAGTGTTGGAGGTTGGGTGGGTTGGCTACGAGCCAGTCGAAGAAGTGGAGGGGGGTGCGATGGGCGCTCTGGAAGGGGCCGCTCAGGCTCCCTACAGTCGGGGATTGGTATTGGGTGTTTTCGAAGAAAGTGGGGAAGTTGTTGAAGGACGGGCGCGCGGTGTCGTAGCAAAAGGAAATGCTATCTTGGTAGTTGTCGGCGGCGAGCTGGTCGCTCAGCGGCGTGCCGTGGAAGGCGCCGTGATGGAAGCTGATCAGATACATCGCCACCAGGTGGCGCGTCAATCGCTGCAGGAGCACGACATCGATGCCAGTCTTCTCGGCCAGTGCGGACGGGCTCAGGCCGGCCTCCCCTGCGTCGCGGAGGAGCTGAAATAGTTTGACGTCGACGGCGATGCGGATCACGGCGGACATGGCGGGCTGTAGGTGTCGCAAGCGAGTGCGTTAGTCGGTGAGTATATCGGTGGGAATGGAAAGGGTATGCCGCTCATACCTCAGCCCAGAAGCTGCGTTGAATGAATTCACTGGGCATCTCCAGCGCGGCCACCAGGGCACGGCTGCGGTCAATGAGGGCTTCCCGTGCGCCAGGCTCAGCCTGGTCATAGGCTTTGCCTGCCGCGGCCAAGTCTTCCAGAATGGTAGAAACGGAGGGATTCGTCATGATTGAGGTGTGGAGGTGAGAGTGGAAAGTAGAGAGAAGCGCATTGAGGGGTTCCTGGGGGTCTCATGGGCTTCATATATCTTTCCACGCTTCAGTGAGGGGTAGCCGGCAGATGGACTGCTGCCATGTTCAGTGCAAGCTAGTCGTATTCTAGCCCATGGAAAAGTGGATAGAAACGGTCTGTCTGTATCTCAACACGTGTGTCTGCTCGAGACGAGGCTAGGTGGCTTTCGCCTTTTCATTCAGCTGTCAATCCATCCCGTGCCTGAGGGACTGAGGGACTGAGGGACTGAGTGATAGGGACAGGTTTATGTAGTGGAATGCTTGGTCCCCGAAGGATGAGAGATCCCTGCAATTGTCCCTGTGGCAGACAAGGATCCTGCTGCAGGTACTGTATCCGTACAGTACATAATATAGGAAGAACTCCCCGGGGTGCATATGCGTTCTGGACATGCAGCGAGACAAGGGTGTCTGCTAGAGACAGCTGGCCTCCGGAGGCATGCTAAGACCATCTCCGTAGGAAGTCCGTCATGCCACTCTGTAGCGAAGAAGCGAGAAGACCGGACACAGGCACCGCCGTCAAGCTAAGAGGGTTAACGCATGTTAGCGCTCCTTCGACTGCGAGCCACGCGGGGCTTGTCCCGCCCCGTTCCTGCCTCGAGATATCATCGGTCCACATTGAAGAGAGAATACTGTGAATTGCAAGATGTCTCGCATTCCACATTGCCTCAGATGCATCAACAACAAAAGGCCCAAGCTTGTATCCAGAACCAACGATGGAGGAGCCAGCAAGCTGGGGAAAACCGGAACGATCCGAAGGCTGGAACCCTCGGAGATAGGGATGGAGACTCATTGCCGCTCCACTTCCCGCCATCTCCGCGAAACCCTACATTGCTGACCCGGACATCTTAGCTCCATGGTACTAATGCTTTCAAATCGTAATATCGTTCGCAGAAACCTGGACCGCACCAGATCCTTCCAATTCTGTGACGTTTACCGAGGGCCGCCAGAGAGCCTGTGGCGCACGCCAAACAATTGCGACGAATGACGCCCGTGCCAGAGGAATCATTTTCCCGGAGCCGTTTCTCCTCCTCTCACGCTCTGCCCACCTTATATCGTGCGTTTTGGACACAACCTACGTGGGCGTCCCCATCTTGCCAATGCCTGTTCTCCGAGATCGAGAAGAAAACCGGCCCATCTCTCGTGCTTGGGCCACTTTGCGGCGGGCACCTTCCACCATTGCAGCATTCGAGGCTGGCAGACGGCACGGTCCGACCGTGTGGTTCGAGGCAGTCTGAATGGCTTCGTTCGACACGGACGTGGATTTCAGTGAAAGTCGGGCCGCTGAGATCCATGCAGTAGCCTGGGTATTCACTGGCATTGCCATTGCCGTGGTTGCGTTGAAGCTGTTTGCTCGAGGACATGTCGCGAAGAGCTTGGGATGGGATGACTTCTTCATTTTCTTTTCAATGGTGACTAACCCACCCAGATGCATGAATCCGAGGGACTGGATGCATAATTGAATGAGACCCCGCTGACCAGAGATACTGTACTGCAGGGCCTCAGCATCATCGCCGCAGCATTTGTCTCGTACGCGGTCACCTTAGGGCTCGGTCGCCATACGGCGGCGGTGATTGCCGACCATGGCACCGACCGATATGTCCAAACGGCCAAATGGCAGATCATAGCATTCCGTGAGTTTCCTGCTCAGTCGGGGTTCTATGCCTAGGTAGTTAACAGGATGGCAGCATTCAACATCGGTACGCCTGAACCTCCCTACATCCGCTCATCTCCGGCGATAGTTCTTGATAACTGATGCCTGCGCGGGATGCAGGTGCCTTTAGCTTCCCCAACATCTCCATCGCCATCCTCGTCAGCCACCTCCTCGACCCGAATCCGCTGCGCACGCGCTGTCTCTACGCCATGGTGACGATGCAGGTCGTCTTCGCCATGGTCTCCGTCTTTATCGTCTTCTTCCAGTGCCGCCCCACCCAGAAGCTGTGGGACGCCTCCCGGGAGGGCCAGTGCTGGGACGCCAGCGTCTTCGACGACTTCTCCTACTGGGTCAGCGCCTACACCACGATGACGGATATTGTTCTGGCCGTGGTACCCATCCGCGTCTTCTGGAAGCTGCAGATGCGCACCTCGACCAAGGTGGGGGTGTGCATCATGATGGGGCTGACGTTGCTCTCGGCGATCGTGACCATCGTCAAGGCCACATATCTGCATCTTTTCACCGATCGAACAGATCCACGTAAATTGCACATCCTCCCCACCGATCCATCCCGTTGACTAACATGAAACTTCCCAGTATATAATGTAGTACCGCTAGTAGTCTGGGGCCTGTACGTTTTGTTCCTCAAATACCCCCTCATCCATTCCAGGAACCCCCCAATCATTGACTATCTTCACTGGATACACTGTCCACAGCATCGAGCAAAACGTCGTCATCGTGGCGGCCTGCATCCCCACGCTCCGGCCCTTCTTCCGCAAAGCCTTCGAATCCAAGGGCTACCGCTCCGACAGCCATACCTCCCATGTGTATTCCGGCGGATCCACCTTCAAGCTTTCGACCACCCCCAAGCCCTCGGGTGCCCAGCGTCTCCCGTCGGAGTCGGACTTGCCGCTGGACACTAATCATCAGGATGGGGAAGCGGATGCCGCGGATTTGCGGCGGGGGATCTGGCGGACGAGTCAGATTCATGTCACTGTGCAGCAGTCGGGCGCCAGGGCAGCGCATGTGCCGGTGGATGCTTTACGTTGACCACCGTCACGAAGCAGAATGGCTCGAGGTGGGGAAAGGGCATCTGCATATACCTTTGTGCACAGCACAGTCCTAGGGACTGTTCAATTCGGGGTCAGTAGACGGATTTCTTTCTGTTTCCTATGTTCTTTTCCTTTGTGTGTGCGTGTATGATTGCTGGGTCATTGCGTCTGGCTCGATACGATTTGTAGGGAACCGAAGTAAAGATCCCCTAGAATAATTTTCAAGATGGAATCCTTACGCATGCAGAAACATGTATCATAGAAGAAGAAAGAACGATGGTTATCCTCCCTCCGAGCCCTTCAAACACGGATGTTAATGTGTCCGAATGCTCCTTTTAAACTAGACCTGGTTGATCCTTTGCATGGTCAGCCTGACAATTGCCATACCAGGCGGATACCGGCCATCTTCTACATAATGGAAACTTCATGTCCCCTTTCATGATTCCAAGCCCTAACCCCTCCATCCATCTCTTTCATCTTGCCAAACATATTGCACCCTCGCCCCCTCCCCCTCCTTTAAACCACTAAGTATCCCAGGCTCAATCCACTCCAACAAAAAACAAGCAGGGGAAAAAAAGAAATCAAAGATACCCCTCCAAATACCTCACAAAAGTCAGACAATCATTCGTCTTGGCCACCCACTTCTGATGCTCCGCCTGGGCGAAGTAGTCCTTGGCCTTGGCCGCCAGCGCCGCGTCCTTCTTGGCGGCGGTCTGCTTGACGAACTCGATCTTGGTGGCGGACTTGCCGCCGCCGGCGCCACTCCAGTTGCGCTTCTGGTAGATGGTCTCCGGGTACTCGGTGATGATGAGGTGGTGCAGGACGGCGATGAAGTCGCGCTTCACCTTTTTTTTGGAGGTGGTCTCGCTGACCTTCCCCACCACCAGGGCGATGTGGTCGAACCCGTAGTCCCGCTGCGCCTCCGCCAGCACGTCCTTGGGGCTGGCGTCGCCCGGCCCGTCGCCCGTCGTGTACTTGACCGTGAAGGCGTAGTAGTTGTCCTTGGTCATGCTGCTGTGGACCTTGGAGAAGAGCTGGTAGGTGCTGGTTTCTTCGATGGTTTGTTGGGCGGAGGTGGAGGAGGTGCGCGGGGTTAGGTTGGTTATCGCGTCTTCCTCGTTGTTGTTGTCGTCGTCGTCGTCGTCGTCGTCGTGGGTGATGTCCCGCGTGAGCAGAGTATAGAGGGTGTCATCGTCGTCGTCGTCGTCTCGAGGTGTTCCATCTTCGCGGTTGAATAGCTCGGCCAGCGGCAGGTCGAGGGACCGGGTGTGGATGTCCGGGAGCTTGCGGAGGGGGTCGACATTGTGCACGGATCTGGTGTCGAGGTTGATGGATTGGATGGAACCGTGGGCTTGAGATTCGGGGTCCGCGTTGGGGATCGGGGTGGAGGTCACCCCCGTGGAGAGTGTGGCGAGCAGAAGGGAGAAGAGAGTGTTGATTTTCATTGCGGTGTGAGAAAGCCGTTGACTATGGGTGGGGGGCTGTCAAATGAGTGTGGTGGGAAATACAGGACTACACAAATGAGTGGATGGGGCTTGGGTCTGTGAGGTTTCTGGTGGAGAGTCAGGGGCTTTATATTCTCCTCTATATCTGTCGTATCGTATTGTTGACTATACTACATGTATGAATCAGACAGTGACAGTCCCGGCGGAAGTCACGGAAATGAAGTTTGCAGGCATGATGTTCCTGCAAGGGTCGCAGACTGAGACTTTCAAAGGCTCCTGGAAAACCTGAGCATGGGGGCTGCTTCTTTTCGATCCTGTTGATGTTGTTGATGTTGTAGGTCTGGTGTCGTAGTAGGGAAGTGTTTGGCCCCCCGTCAGCACAAGCTAGGGTTTGGGGCCGATATTGGATCTTGTCTGGAACTGGAAAAAGGGACTGTTTTGTGAGCCGTTATTGTTGGCTAAGGGAAGAGCAAACAATTGCACCTGGGCTACTAGTCTGACTACTAGGTAGCTAGTGAGAGCCTGGTCTGACTGGCAGGCACCCTCTTTTATTGTGGTTTCCTCCACCTCATCTCTCCTTCCCCTCCCTTCCCTTTCCATCTCTCCTCTCTGCTTTCTCAACCTCAAATCTTGCTTTCTACCTTTTCATTTCAAATACCAGCTAAACAATATGCCCCCAACCCCAACCCCAACCCCAACCCCAACCCCAACTCCAGAAATAACCCTCGCCGCCCTCACCACCAAGATCCAAGCCTCCACCCTCCTCCCCACCACCCACCTCCACCAACTCCTCCTCTCCACCCCAAGTCAAACCCTCACTCTCCCCGCCTTCCTCGCCCTCTTCCCTCCCTCCCTCCAATTGACCCACCGCAACGCCCTCACCCAAATCCACCACCTCCTCGCCTATCTCTCCAATTTCCCCTTCTCCTCCTTCCCCGTCCCCCAATCCTTAACCCCAACCGCGCTACTCCGCGCCCTCACGCTCGCCAACCCCGCCCTCTCCGCCCAGCTCTTCGAGGAAAGCAACCTCACGCGCCGCCGCACGCCAGCCGATTATAGGCGGGTGATCTTCCAGGGTCTGGCGACGGAGCGTGTCCCCGAGCCTCAGCTTTCTGGACAGGTGGAGGTGGAGGGGGAGGGGGAGGGGTTCCACAAGGAGAGGGCGCAAGCATCCCGCAACGCCTTTGACATCCCCTCTGCAGACGATGAGACCCAGCGATCCTTCTGCGGGGTGAATTACGATGCCGACGGCGATGAGATGTTCCATGATGTGCTGGATGTGTTGTATAATGTCCAGGACAAGCGGGTGTGGGAGGCGGGGGTGCCGCGGGAGGGGTGGAGGCGGGCGGCGGTGGAGTTGGTGCGCGGGGTGGAGGCGGATGCTGATGCGAGGGGGCTGAGAGGCAGGGGCAGGGTCAGGATTAGGGAGCTGGGGATTCGGAGGGAGAGGTTGCGCGAGGTGGTGCGGTTGTTTGTGCGGGTGGGCTTTGCGGGGTGTGCTGCTGTGGGGGTCGGGGAGGAGGATGGGCTGGAGGAGGCGGCTGAGTGTGTGGTGCGGGCCTTTGCGCGAGACGGGGCTGAGGTGGTGATGTGGGAGATGTTTGATGAGGTCATTAGGGATGTTCTGGTTCGTATTCCCCGCTTGTATACCGGGGGTTTTGTGGAATAAGGGCGTCAGGGGGAGGAGAGGGGAGTTGTTTAACGACACATGCTGATGCTATGGGATAGCCACACTTCTTGACCAGCTTGGGAAGACTCCTGTTCCCGCTCTATCAACCGCGAACCGAGCAGGAGGATATCGTTCATTCCCTCCCCCAACCCAGCAAGATTGCAACCCGCCCTGTGCTAGCGCTGTTGGACATGATCCTGGCGGAAACGGTGGCGTTCGAAGCACTCGCGTTGCGCAAGATGTACACCACCTCCGAGAAAACCGAAACGGCAGAGACACTGGCAGCCGACCTAGACAACGACGAGGATCTGACGGTGGTCCTGATCGCGGGACGGTGTACGCAGTCCGGACAGCGAGCGGTATTTGGCTTCCATCTGCCCTGGGCGGGCATGGAGGGTGCGGCGGCATCGTGTCTGTTGTTCCAGTTGAGTCCCGTGCAGGATGTGTTTCGCGGGGATTTATCTGAAGTGGTGCGGCCGGGGTATCGACTAGCAGAGCAAACGAAGCAGTTGGGCTTCGGGGAGGCAGGAAAAGGCGTGCAGTTGGTGCTGGAGAGGAATCTATCGAGGATGAGCGTGAGGCATGTGGTTGCGGAGGGAGGAGGGTACCGGGCGAGGGAGTGGAGGGGCGACTGGACCATGGAGGTTGAGGTGCAGGAGATCGAGCTTTGGGATGAGACATAGGTCGCTCAGTAGGTAGCTATTGCTTGTGAATGTAATAAGACAGCACCTCCATTCGGACGCCCGAGTATGGATACAATGGGAACACAGCAAGATGCCGTCATCTGTAGTTGCAGTGCTACGACATAAAAACCATGCCCGACTCTCAAAATGCTCTAGTCTCTCATCTGACACAAACACACACTCGAAAAATATGATTCAAGTCTAAGCAAAAGGTATAGTACAAAATGTCCCTCTCGTCCCCGACCCTTCGCCTCTCTCCATACAACCAACACGGCGCCAAGCCAAGCGAAGTAGCAATGAACGAGCAATGCCAGCCCATCGAAGAATTAGCAAAAAAAAAAAAAAAAAAAAATAGAGAGCACTAATCTGCTCGAGCTGCGGGAATTCCTTCCGGTTCCGTCCGGGTTGCACTATATACGGTGCAGCAACTTCCAGTGCATAGTAGATATCTATCGGTTCTCATGAAAAGAAAAAGCCACAAGTAAGAAAACAACAAGACAACGCTCATCAAAGCTCGCCCTCTTCACTTCCTCCACCCTCATCATAATTCTCAACGGCTTTCGTTGGTGCCGGTGACGGTGGCCGGGCTTCTTCTGGAGGAGGTGGCGGAGGCGGAGGTGGAGGAGCAGGCGGAGGTGGCGCACGGGAGTGGTTCGATTGTTCTTCGTAGGATGGCTTCCTGCCACCAGCAGACGGGCGTCGTCTGCGCTCGTCTGATTCTACGTCCCAGTCGCTGCGATGACGGTCGATTGGCCGTCGCTCAGGTCGAGCAGAGCCCGGAGACCCGTGGGAGGACATGTTCTGTTGTACAATCTCGTCGATCCGTTGCTGGATCGGATCCACCGGTTGCCCCGGCTTACTCCCCCGGCTGGCGCTATCACGGCGAGGAAACGGTCGAGGGGCAGGGGGCAGGGGATGCGGATGGCGTGGTTTTGAGTGATGGGGAGGCGGCGGGAGTTGTCCCGCAGAGACGTGATTGTTGCCGTGGTGTCGGTCTTGAGATGCCGGTGGCCCTCCGTTAGAGTGGGGGACAGTCGAGGATTCATGCGCAAGGCCTCTTTCGGCCACCACGCCTTCCGATTCCCTCCGCTGTCGCTTCGGCGACCGTGTACCATTCTGTCTATTTGGCTCGTGGTCGCGCGATGTAGTCGATTCGTGCAGGTTGCGGTCGTGAGTCTGCTCTTCGAGCTCCCTGGACCGCTTACGCCCGTTGACGGGGTCTGCTCCTGGCGCGGGCTCCGTCGTACCGCCCGCGCGCGGGATCCTGGTCTTCTCAGTACCCTCGTCTGATGCGGTGGGGGCGGACAGATAGTACGTGTTTCTTTGCAGGGCATTGTTTTCATATAAATGTGCCATTCTCGTGACCGTACGACGCACCTCGTTGATGTCCACATCGATTTGCTCCCACCAGGGCCGACCGAGTTCGTCGTCTTCGAATCCGACGTCGCAGTGCTTGGCGGCGGCGTACAGGGCGGCGGCGGCGATGTTGCGAGCGGTAAACTGTAAGCAGAGGACGGTAAACATCGAGTCGTTGACGAAAGCCCATGACGCATTGCGCATCTGTTTGTTATCGGCCACGTTGAAGAACAGCAGGAATTCGTAGAGGATGCGATACGGCTCTTCCAGCTGCAGGTCGAAGCACAGCGCCTCCAGTAGGGTATCCTCGTTGACGAGGATCGTGTCGCGCCATTTCCAGAACTCTTTGGACTGCTCATCAACCACCAGATTCGGCTGCTTCTGAGCGACCCGACAGCAAGCAACCACAAGCTCCTTCATCCTCCGCACGTTTTCATCAACCTTTGTAGCCAGGAACAAGGCCGTAGCAGCGATGGGGTAGGGGTGCATTCCGGGTCGTTGCGGTAGATCGACCATACTGTATCGCATAAAAAAACGATGGAGGTAGACGGCGGCCGTCGCAAGCGTGAGTTGCGGCAGTTTGAGCATGATCCCCACCTGGGAGATGAAATTTACGCCCTTGCTGCGGGAGGTATTTTCCGCCTCCATCTTCATACCATCGAGCTGTGACGGCGTTCGTGTGAGCTCCTCATCGGTGAAGAGCCATTGAGCTTGGGTAGCAACGAGGACGGCATTTGAAGGCGCAGGAACAGGCCGTGGACCCGGGCGGTGGCCGCGCGGAGAAGCCATCGTGTGCATATGAGCTTTATCGGCCAAGTCCAATTCCCTCAAAGCACAAAGCGACGCTAATGCGAGCAGAGTTTATCTCGAAGGAGTGGAAGGTGGAAGAACTGTACACAACGTGAGAGGAGATCGATCCCGAGAGCCCGAATCCGCACGCGCAGGCAAGCTTGGGTAAGGTTCCGATCGAGTATTCTTCAGTCACCCTACTTGAAGACTGTCGAAGGAGCAAGGCAGTAAATGAAGGCGCACCCTTAGTGTAGCCCACTGGCGACAGTGAGCCACTTTGTCTCGTCGCCTGGAGGTTTATCGAGTCGTTTCAACCATGGCCCGCGGGTGAATCCTCATCGCATCGGATGCCGAAAATCGGGAGGTCAGTCGCACCACGCGTGTTAGTCCACGGGTTCGACAGTAAGCGTTATGAAGAAGGTGGATAATTTCCGTAACGGCTGACTGCGATGGACTGGGTGGTAAATCGTGAGAATCTCGTCGTGTTGTCGATTATTGCCGGAGGAACCGATCAAGCTCCTTTCTAGAGCGGTGGTTTTTCTTGACTGGCACTTGGCCCAATGACGATGCGGCCCGGATCATTCAGTTGTTCCGATCTAGATCGGCCGCCGCGTAGAACCGGCATTCGGACTATTTGTTACTCTCACAAGTGGTTTTCTCAGTGTTACAGTTGTCATGATCATACCAACATGCTACAACACTGACAGTCTGGTCAGTCTGGTCAGTCTGGTCAGTCTGGTCAGCCAGTCTTCAGTACACTTCTCAATGCACATACGGTACAACAGCTGGTATTATATCAATTGCCATGAACGTCCGCCTCCGCTGGGTTTCAATGTAAAACAGTGTAAACTCCACAGTGCGCCCTGCTTATATGCATGTAGACTTGTTACAAGAGTGAAACACAGGCTAATAAACAAGAGTCGTAAAAGAGACAACATTACTCTTCCTCGCTGACCTCGCTCTCGTCATCACTAGGTGCGTGGTAGAGATGCGACGAGTATGGTGGCTGCGACTGGTGGCTACGTGCCTCTTCTTCCTCCCGCGCACTTTCTTCAAAGGCCGCTTCCATCTCAGCGGCCAGGGCGTCATCATCATCCAGCTCATCTTCATCCACGAGCGGCGCAGTGATAGGCTCGCGGACTGCAGGCGCTTTCCCGTGACGGGCTGGTGAGGGAAGTCGGAGATGGTCAACATCTTCATCGTCTTCCTCCTCGTGATCGTCACTGGCCGGTGTGTGCGTATCGGAGAAGTAGGTTGTGTCAATTCTCGAGGGCCGCGGCGAGCCCATTTCGATGATCAGATCACCGTCGATGATGATATTTGACCCCGGCGAAGGCTCGGTGATCTGGGACGAGACCAACCCCAAACCCGTCTCGGCCGGCGGGGGTTTCGCTGTGCTCCCCCGCACGTCATCCTCTTTGACGACCTTCCGGTCAGTTCCCTTACGTTCGGTTCGTGCCGGAGACTTTGGTGGTGCTTTTGTCGGTGTGGACTTGGGGTGTTTGACAGCCTCTGCACGCTCCTTTTTCCGAAGCAGTGGCTCCCGCTGCTTCTGCTTGTCCGGCATGGGCTTGGGACTCGGAGTGGGTTTGATGGCAGACATAAAGGGTGTCGCCGCTTTGCCTACACTGGTGTCTGAAGCGGATTTGTCGTCATCGGCGTTCTCCTTTGGGAGGAAATGACGAAAATCGAAAGGGTTGTTGTCATCCGCTGGGCCGTCATCATTACCACTGGCATTGTCAGACGCCCGATCGTCACCCGATCCATGGTCTTCCTCCTGCAACGTTCGTAGTTGCTCATATTGTTCAAGGACCTGCTTGTGTGACTTCGCTGGGGCCGACCGAAGATTAAAGTTGAGCTGTGTCGTTACCGGTTCTAGTACGAACACTTTCCGATTGGCGTCAAATACCAGGACAAGATTATGTTCACCAGATTCCAGCGCAGCTTGTGCCGGATCTGCACTGCCTTGATATGTGTAGGTCAACACATTCTGCTCAGAATTTGGTGCTTTGTCCGTGATCGTCAAATTGTAACGGTCCCGAGATTGCCTTGATCGAGAGATTTTAGATCGGGCGGTCGCAGATTTGGTTTTGTAATTATATTGAATGTTGACTAATTGGGAGTTCGACGCGCCCTTGCCAGCGAGCCTGTCACCCAGCACAATAGGATACTCGGCTTGTTTTGTTGGATCGATCAACCCACTGGTGGAGAGAGCTGGGGCAGCCATCTTGGATCGGGGCCACAGGAGGGAGGCAGGGATGTTGAGATAAAGGTCGCAAGTTTGTGTATATGATGGAAACTCTTCACGTAGTCAAGGAAGTTATCTTCATTGCTCAGGAGGGTATAATCAGTAGCACGGTATGCAAGGGAGAACGTCACAACAGACGGAGGCGGCGGCGGCGGCGGCAGCGCGGGGGGAGGGAGAAGAATAGATCAGAGACCGGAAACCAGCACCGGTCACGAAGAAGGAGTCTCGAAGAGGAGTGTCAGGGATTTCGGAGGTGACAAGAGGCGTAAAGGATCAATGAGAAAGAGGGGTCGTCTAGAGATTGTCGAAAGGGATGTGGAAGAGAAGAAAGAGCAGGGAGAGGGAGGGAGCGAGGGAGCGAGGGAGGATGACGGATGGATGGTCCAGACAGCGTTGGACGGCGGATGCCATGCCTTATCGGGTTAGCGACCCCCGGGTGTCCTGACTTTCCTTATTGAGAAACAAAAGACGCTTCATCCCTTCTTCACCTTCAATGACACTGACAATGGCCGATTTGTTGGTTCTTGTTTGTTTGTTGGCAGCTTTGCTGGCAATATCCTTACAGTACGTTCTTTGTCACTTGGTCATTTGGTCACTCTGCGGTTCAATCGCCCAGTCCCTCACTAAGCTGGCGATGCTACTCGCAAGGTCCCTTTGGAAGAAGGTCCTGTGGTTGTACCACCCCCAGTCAGCTGTTCCAACCGCCCTGCCAAGGCTCGGTGTTTCCGTGTCACCTCCTCCCATACGTAGGCTAAATCATCATCATCGTCTTCGTCCTGCTCGTCTCCCAACTCCGTAAGGATCATTCCAAAATCGCCCCCAAGTCGACCAAGGCTGGCTGCACAATACAGGACCTGGGTCAAGAGACTTTCGCGCGAGCTCTTGTCGCGAACATTGGGAAGATACGTGCGCAACGTATCCGCGAGCAATTCGACTAGCTGCATTGGAAAAGTGGCCAAGGCGGACGGAAGACGTTGAAAGGGAATTTCTGCACGGGCTGACTTCGAGGCTACCGCCTTGACTCGACTATCGATTCCACGTAGACCGGCAACGGCCAATTCCGACTCGGACTGGTCAGGAGAGAAAATGTTTCTGTATAAGGAGACAATAGCAAAACTTTGTTCGCGGAAAATCTCAATATATCGCTTCAAGTATTTCTCCGTCTGGTGACCATCTGACCAAGTGGCTGTCGCACTGTTTGGTTTGTCGGTCTTGTGGAGTCTGCGCTGCGTCTCCTGGTCGGCCAACTCTCGCAAAGGATCCAGGGCTTCGAGCATTGATACCAGATTTGCCAGTCTACAGATCAAAAATACTGCACCGAAGGCCCCCTCGCCGGAAGTAGTCCCTCCATCATTGTATAGGTTTTCCAGCTCGGGCGCCACTCGCCGCAGCCAACCAACGGTCCTCATGGCAGCTGCTAGCCGCAGGTTCTGCATCCGCAGCCCAGCAGTCAGATTGGAAGTCATGTCCTTCATCGCTTCATCGGCCTGCATGACCACGTCTTTGATGAGCGGGGAATCCGGATACAGAGTCTGTAGTCTCTTGATGTGCGCATAAAGATCCAGTGCAGTCGAGTATGTGGTCGATGCGGAACTCCCTGTACCACCCGAGCTTGCCGCGGCGGATGACACCGCTGTAGAAAGCAAGGTTGGCAGCTCCAAAATGTCCGAGAGTCGGTCCACATTTCTTGCCAATTGCATGACCTTTTTCCGCCGCTCGAGGGATACATTCTCGGTTGCTCGGCTATATTTTGAAGAGAATAGAACGGCTTCCTCGTCGAGTTTGGGGATTGAATCTCGCAGTGCTTGGGCGTCGCGGGTCAACTGGGGGATAGTTGTGCGAAGGTTGGACAAATGGTCTGCGGAGGTCACGAAGGCTTTGTGAGAACGGTTGGAGAGCGCTTGGAGGGACAAAAGGGTCGAGTGGGAGGACTGTGTTAAGGATTGAGGCTCTGTCGTCTGTAATGCTTGAAGGGAGAGGGTCGGTAGACGATTGAGGTACTGGGCTGTGGTGGGATTGTGCTCCGGGGAGCGGAGATCGGAAGGAGCATTGGTGGTTGGATCCAGCTGAGGAGCCAGGAGCTCGTAAAGATAATCGGCCATAATTGCTTTCGCCTCAGCCCAGGGGGCGTAAAAAGGAAGGAGATTTGTGGGAGAGTCTGTGAAGTTGCCCAGTGGAAGCTAAGTCACCTAGACAGGAGAATCTAGAGAAACTGGCCAGCTTTGGTTTGCGACGGATAACTTAACGGATGGGCACGGCATGCCGCCTTGGCGGGTCACTGGCCAGCCCAGGCTTAGTCTGTCACAGTGAGTGTATAATTTACCGTCTGCCCACAGCTTTTAAGCCACAACTAGAAACACCAAATAATATCATGGCTCCATGATTTTTCCTCCCAACTTGAAGCTAAGCTCATGTAACATACGTCTGACAGGAGAAATTGTTGCTTCCACCTCTAGACTTCACACCTGGATAGCTAGTCATCTGAGCTTCAGATCTTCGCCTTGCGATCAATTCCCGCTGCTCCGCTCTCTGTCGAGTCAACTACTCCGACGTGGACGGCACTGGCATAAAGTAGACTTCGAACCATAGCTCTTTGAGACCAGATAGAACTATCTTATGGGTCTTGAACATGAGGGGAAAAGCGCCTCCCCCACACTGTTCCCCACATAGTGTCGTCCTTCCCGGATCGGGCGAGCACTGGAATGCCCACTGGGGTTAACTACTTACCACAATCAGGCTCCTGTAATTTGTGTGGGAGAGAGCAAGCAAGCCAGAAACTCAGGTTCCTCGTGCAATTCATCGTCCCTCAATGGATACACCTCTGGCATTCTTTTAGATGCGGCGATGGTCAAAGATGACCATATCCCACGATGCGAAATGTCCACGAGGTCTGACACGAACTCAATCTGAACCAACATGTAGATGAAAACGTCATCTAGAAAAGAAAAACTTTGGACGGAGTACAAAGAGGAAGACTATCAAGATGATATCAAGCAACTCGTTGCATGTTGATATATTGACTAAGACATGGGAATCAATCAACTTGGTGAGATTAAGGTCAAGATCAAGGGAAGTTGTCTAGCCTGGCAGCATGCAGTGTAGGATAACTAGTAGCTGGTGCCGTGTTCTATTGATAGATGAATTGTGCCTGAGCTGGTCATTGCTGACTAACCGAGGCACTGACATCACTGAAAGGCGCTAACTGGATCAGGGAATCCCCAGGTTCCTCCAATGGTCCCGCCGCATTTGCAAATCCTCGTTCTCCTCAACAACTCATTTCCTGGGATCTCCCATCGATCGGTTCTCGAAAGACGAAGACTGATTCACGAGCCACGAGTTTCTCGTAAAATCGGTCAGTCAGTGGGTGCATTTTTCTTGGTTTCACCACCCGCCGTTACAGTCTGCTGCGATTGTCCTGTACCTCGCCTCGTATCCCCACATCAATTGTACACCACCGCATGCCACCACAACAACCATGGGCAAGCCGCGGGTAAGTGTCACAGCCCTCGATGATGATGCCACTTCGGTCGCTCACCTGTTTCACAGATGATCATCTTGATTCGACATGCTCAATCAGAAGGGAACAAAAACCGCGAGATTCATCAGACCATCCCGGACCATCGGGTTAAACTCACCCCGGAAGGACATCGCCAGGCTCTGGAAGCAGGAAGCAAATTACGCGCCCTCCTCCGACCAGATGACACGATCCACTTCTTCACATCTCCCTATCGTCGCACACGCGAAACCACGGAGGGCATTCTTCAGTCCTTAACATCGGACTCGCCATCCCCATCCCCGTTCCCGCGGCATACAATCAAGGTCTATGAGGAGCCTCGGTTGCGCGAGCAGGATTTTGGCAACTTTCAGCCTTGTTCGGCCGAGATGGAACGAATGTGGCTGGAAAGGGCTGATTATGGACACTTCTTCTACCGGATACCCAACGGTGAGTCTGCCGCAGACGCCTACGACCGCGTCAGTGGTTTCAACGAGTCCCTTTGGCGCCTGTTCGGAGAGAACGACTTTGCTAGTGTCTGCGTGCTGGTTACGCATGGTTTAATGACGAGAGTGTTTCTCATGAAATGGTACCACTGGAGCGTGGAATACTTTGAGGATTTACGAAACATCAACCATTGCGAGTTTGTTATCTTGAAACTCAATCCAGACAATGGTAAATATGTCCTGCAAAATCAGCTCCGGACTTGGTCCGATCTGCGCAAGGAAAAGGAGCTGGAGCGGCAACACGAACATGCAGCGAAAGGCCTCAGCCCTACACAGCCCGCAACGCCATCGGAGACAACGCCGGTGCCGGTCAGACGCAAGTGGGGTGGCTGTCCCGAGGGGTGTAATCACGGAATTCGAAGAGGGAACTCCTTGCGTTCAGCTCGAGCACACGGATCAGAACAGCCCAAGCTTTACGTGGACACTTCATCCCCCGCCTCCAGGAAGACAAGCGATCCCAAGCACAACTTAGAGAACACTAACGCTGACCACGATGCTTCTCCGACTATAACTTCGAAAGATCCGGCCGCGCATGGAGAAACACATATGATCACAGCCCCCGAGCCAGCACTTGGAGATCGGTCGAGGGATGTTCGCCCGTTAGAGAGAACACACCCCGCGCCTTCGCCCAAGTACGAGTTTCATGGCACTCAACTAGAACTCGAGGTCTCGAGCGCGACCTTGGAAAAGGCACTACCCATCCGAACAAAGGCCATTGCCTTGACTGACACAAGTCAATCATCCGACCAACCATTTCCCTCATCGACCCGCTCCAGCCCCAGCCCCAGCTCAGTTCCAGTCCCGCGCCGGCCAGACCTCCGGCACTTCCACCGCGACAGCGAAGACCACCTCCTTCACCCACCTCGCTCCACCTATGCTTACATCCATCTGGTCGGCCGTGATGGCGGTGGCTCCCTGAGCGGAGCGAACAGTCTTGCACCATCTGAGGACGAGCGGGATGATAAAAACGAATATCAGCACCACCACCACCATCACCACCACCATTCGGGCCATAAGCACCAGCATGAACCCACCCAGTCGGCTCCAGAAGCCCGTCCGCGCTCCGCCTCCACCTCCAACCACCTCTATCCCCACCAACACCATCATCATCATCATCATCACCACCACAGCCATCGCCCAGACCCCTCGCGCAAACCGTCCCAGGATCTCGGCAACGACGGCGACGACGAGAGCAGCAGCCGACAGAGCGAGCGACTTCGTCGCACCCGCTCTCACAGTTACCACCGCCACCCCGACCATTCCACCACCTCCAGCGGTCGTCGAGCCATCCAAGCGAAGCGCGTAGCCAACATCCTCACCCAGCATCAAGTGCAGCCGCAGCAGCAGCAACAACACGACAACCACGATGACGACAACGACGACGAAGACCATGACGAGTATTTCTCCGAGCAATGCGCAGCATGCCAGGCGGACCAGT